CATAGAAGATCCCTTTCCTCCATCTTATTCTTTGGAATAATAAAATCGTTCTGTTGCTTTTGCTATTTTGAAATTAAACCTCTAACGACATTTGTTTTATCGCACTTCCACTACAATGAACATAATATTATGACGTTTTTTTCTCTTTTCAATTTGATTAAATGTAAAAAAATCTTCATACTTTTTGCAAGGATTGTAGTTAATATGAGTAACTCTAGACGATACACTCACAAAAAAAATAATAGCAAATATAAATTTTTTACTAAAAATCTTGATTAGTTCTAGTTCAAACTAGTTAAGTTCTGATTAAGTTCCAGTTAAGTTTTAGTTCAGTTTATGTTCAGTTCTAGATCACTTTTAATTTAGTTCTTATTCATTTCTAGTTCAGTTCTAGTTCAGTTCTAGTTCAGTTCAATTCTAGTTCAGTTCTAGTTCAGTTCTAGTTCAGTTCTAGTTCAGTTCTAGTTCAGTTAGTTCAGTTCTAGTTCAGTTCTAGTTCAGTTCTAGTTCAGTTCTAGTTCAGTTCTAGTTCAGTTCTAGTTCAGTTCTAGTTCAGTTCAGTTCAGTTCTAGTTCAGTTCTAGTTCAGTTCTAGTTCAGTTCTAGTTCAGTTCTAGTTCAGTTCTAGTTCAGTTCTAGTTCAGTTCTAGTTCAGTTCTAGTTCAGTTCTAGTTCAGTTCTAGTCAGTTCTAGTTCGTTTAGTTCTAGTTCAGTTCTAGTTCAGTTCTAGTTCAGTTCTAGTTCAGTTCTAGTTCAGTTCTAGTTCAGTTCTAGTTCAGTTCTAGTTCAGTTCTAGTTCAGTCTAGTTCAGTTCTAGTTCAGTTCTAGTTCAGTTCTAGTTCAGTTCTAGTTCAGTTCTAGTTCAGTTCTAGTTCAGTTCTAGTTCAGTTCTAGTTCAGTTCTAGTTCAGTTCTAGTTCAGTTCTAGTTCAGTTCTAGTTCAGTTCTAGTTCAGTTCTAGTTCAGTTCTAGTTCAGTTCTAGTTCAGTTCTAGTTCAGTTCTAGTTCAGTTCTAGTTCAGTTCTAGTTCAGTTCTAGTTCAGTTCTAGTTCAGTTCTAGTTCAGTTCTTTTCAGTTCTAGTTCAGTTCTAGTTCAGTTCTAGTTCAGTTCTAGTTCAGTTCTCAGTTAGTTCAGTTCTAGTTCAGTTCTAGTTCAGTTCTAGTTCAGTTCTAGTTCAGTTCTAGTTCAGTTCTAGTTCAGTTCTAGTTCAGTTCTAGTTCAGTTCTAGTTCAGTTCTAGTTCAGTTCTAGTTCAGTTCTAGTTCAGTTCTAGTTCAGTTCTAGTTCAGTTCTAGTTCAGTTCTAGTTCAGTTCTAGTTCAGTTCTAGTTCAGTTCTAGTTCAGTTCTAGTTCAGTTCTAGTTCAGTTCTAGTTCAGTTCGTAGTTCAGTTCCCTAGTTCAGTTCTAGTTCAGTTTCTAGTTCAGTTCTGTATCAGTTCTAGTTCCGTTCTAGATCAGTTCTAGTTCAGTTTAGTTTCAGTTCTAAGTTCAGTTCTAGTTCAGTTCTAGTTCCAGTTTTCTAGTTCAGTTCTAGTTCAGTTTTAGTTCAGTTCTAGTTTTCTAGTTTTTTCGGTTCTAGTTTAGTTCTAGTTCAGTTTAGTTAGTTCAGTTCAGTTCAGTTCTAGTCAGTTCTAGTTCAGTTCTAGTTCGTTCTAGTTCAGTTTCTAGTTCAGTTCTAGTTCAGTTCTAGTTTCAGTTCTAGTTCAGTTCTGTTCAGTTCTAGTTCAGTTCTAGTTCAGTTCTAGTTCAGTTCTAGTTCAGTTCTAGTTCAGTTCTAGTTCAGTTCAGTTCAGTTCTAGTTCAGTTCTAGTTCAGTTCTAGTTCAGTTCAGTTTAGTTCTAGTTCAGTTTAGTTCAGTTCTAGTTCACTTCTAGTCATTTCTACTTCGGTTCTATTTCGGTTCTAGTTCAGTTATAGTTTATTTATTGTGCAGTTTTTTTCAAGTTATTCTGACTGTTTTATTTCTTTGAGTGTAATTTCTTAGAAGAGCAAAATAATTAAAGAAATACGAGTGTTTTTGGAATCTAAAGTCATAACAAAACATATTTAAAACAAAGTTGTTTTTCAAAATAAAAAGGAGTGTCCATTTAAATAATATTTGAGGTTTTTTCCTAGTTAATGTCCTTTTCAAAACTCATACTTTATACCAGGATATTTAATACTTTAACAAGTCATAAGCTAAAATGTACATTAGAAAAATAAAATAAAACATAATTTAAAATGTGGTTTCAGTTGCAACACAGAAAAGAAGGTGTTGAATTTTCTCTTAAATGTAGAGAAATGTCATCAACGCAGGGTTGTATGAAATGGGTACTCGAAGGCAGGGTTGTTTTAATCACATTAACACTCTCTGACTACAAATTTTTCATGCGTAAATTAGTAACAAAGTAATATTTTTTTGTACGTTGGCTTTTTTTTACTATTTTACATTTTTGATTACTGATTAAAATCATAATTTATGACATCAGACTACATTTGCAGAGGAAAACAGTAAAAAACTTATTTTTCCATTTTAGCAAAAAGAAATAAAAACTTTTTTTGTTTTAGTAGCAAGATTATAAAAATTCCTTTTTTAGGTCTACTTTGTCAGTCTATAAATCAATTTTATAACATTTTTGCTTTGACAAATTTATTAAAATTTCCAAATATTTCTTTGTTTTTGGCAGCCAAAAAGGAAACCCTTAAGAGGGGTTGGGGGCCAGTTGAAAATATAAATAAGCAAATAGTATTTAATAATAATAAAAATATTTTATAAATGTCATAATTTAGTAACAAAATTTTACTTAGTGTTTTTTCATTTCTTTTCTTGGCTGCTGATAATTTTGGAGTTATCGCTAGTTGTTGAAAAAAAGGAAGCCCATAGTAGGTGGGGTAAGAGTTAGTGGGCCTCGGGGGTAGGGGGTTTATAAATTGTACATAAATAAACTGGGTCTGTGTAATAAAATATTAGTGACACCATTAAAATTTATATTCTTGTTTGTAGTTTTTTTTTATATATTTTTCTTCTTCTACTTGCATAGAATTACAATAACATTTACATTTACTAAAGCTGCTTGTTGTTTCTTGTAGTTTTTTTTTTGTTTAATATTATAAATATTATTATTTATTTGCTGAAGTTACTATGGTGATTTAAGTTAATAAATTTTTATTATTTTGTATTTATATGAACTAAATAACAACAAAAACAACAACTGCAAAATAATAATAAAAATACGAAATTGAAATTGTTTTTACAAACTGTCATAACTATTGCCAACAAAAGTTGTAACAGACAAAAATGTGAAGAATTTTATATATTTTTTTAACTAAATATTAGTACACAATATGATAACTAGCTGTAAAGGCAACAACACAATTTTTTAAAATTTTATAAATCTTGTAAAACTGAACTAAGAATTAACTAGAACTAAACCAGAACTGAACCAGAACTGAATTACAACTGAACTAGAACTAGAACTGAACTAGAACTGAACTAGAACTGAACTAGAACTGAACTAGAACTGAACTAGAACTGAACTAGAACTGAACTAGAACTGAACTAGAACTGAACTAGAACTGAACTAGAACTGAACTAGAACTGAACTAGAACTGAACTAGAACTGAACTAGAACTGAACTAGAACTGAACTAGAACTGAACTAGAACTGAACTAGAACTGAACTAGAACTGAACTAGAACTGAACTAAAACTGAACTAGAACTGAACTAGAACTGAACTAGAACTGAACTAGAACTGAACTAGAACTGAACTAGAACTGAACTAGAACTGAACTAGAACTGAACTAGAATTGAACTAGAACTGAACTAGAACTGAACTAGAACTGAACTAGAACTGAACTAGAACTGAACTAGAACTGAACTAGAACTGAACTAGAACTGAACTAGAACTGAACTAGAACTGAACTAGAACTGAACTAGAACTGAACTAGAACTGAACTAGAACTGAACTAGAACTGAACTAGAACTGAACTAGAACTGAACTAGAACTGAACTAGAACTGAACTAGAACTGAACTAGAACTGAACTAGAACTGAACTAGAACTGAACTAGGAACTTGAACTACGAACTGAACTAGAATGAACTAGAACTGAACTAGAACTGAACTAGAACTGAACTAGAATGAACTAGAACTTGAACTAGAACTTGAACTAGAACTGAACTAGAACTGAACTAGAACCTGAACTAGAACTGAACTAGAACTGAACTAGAACTGAACTAGAACTGAACTAGAACTGAACTAGAACTGAACTAGAAACTGAACTAGAACTGAACTAGAACTGAACTAGAACTGAACTAGACCTGAACTAGAACTGAACTAGAACTGAACTAGAACTGAACTAAAACTGAACTCGAACTTAGAAACTAGAACTGAACTAAGAACGTGAACTAGAACTGAACTAGAACTGAACTAGAACGAACTAGAACTGAAACTAGAACTGAACTCGAACATGAACTAGAACTTGAACTAGAACTGAACTAGAACTCTGAACTAGAACTGAAACTAGAACTGAATAGAACTGAACTAGAACTGAACTAGGAAAACTGAACTAGAACTGAACTAGAACTGAACTAGAACTGAACTAGAACTGAACTAGAAACTGAACTAGAACTGAACTAGAACTGAACTATAACTGATACTAGAACTGAACTATGAACTGAACTAGAACTGAACTAGAACTGAACTAGAACTGAACTAGAAACTGAACTAGAACTGAACTTAGAACTGAACTAGAATTACTTGAAACTAGATAACTAGATGAACTAGAACTGAAACTAAATTTGCTGTGGAAGAATATCGCTGGAATGCATCTGTGATTTTTCAAATTTTCGTTTATACAATTAAAGATTAATTAATTAACAAATTAATTTCATCTTTGCTATCAATTATTCATTGATTCCCCCCTAAAATACTAAATCAAACATTTGATTAATTATTATAAGAAATTTGTTATAACTTGTGGTAATTGTTAATTTTTTTGTATTTTTTCTCTGTTCTTATTACAGTTGTTATGCATAAGGATAAAGAAGAAAATGGTAATAGTGTCTTACCTCATATACACGCACATGATGGCTATCGGACACGAGAGCTGGGAGCTTTCGAACATGGTCTATTAGATGGTGATATGTTCCTGCAGGTAAAGTAATTTAAGCAAATTATTTAATATGGATGAAAACCGCACACATAGGATGCGAAAATATAAAAATTAAGACATTAATATAAAGAGATTTGATGGTGATTAATTTTATAAGATTTTTTTAAAGAAAAGAGAAAATAATTATGAGGAAAAAGATAATTAATATTTAAAGAATAATCAATCATTTACAATTATTAAAGGAAATATTGTTGAGTTTTATGTAGTCTTTGGTTTAAAATTCTGAAAAAAGGTTGTTTTTGGACAATTTTCCTTAAAAAAACAAACTTAATCGCAAACATTTCAATTCATTCAAATGCAAATTATAACGATTTGCCACCCCACTGACAAAATTTTCAAGAAAAAAACTGCACCTGCATTTAAAATGCACATTTTGTATGCTTTGTTTTTTTTCTCTAAGGAAATTCTACTTTTTTAGGGGTAGAGTGGTAAAAAACAACACCTTTTACTGACAACCAATTTCTAAAAATTTTTTTATAATTTTTTTTTATGGCAACACATGTGTGTATGAGAAATTACAAAAATTATTGAAATGCATTTAGGAGTTTTTGTTGTCTTAGAAAAATGCACCTTGTTTTTTAATGTTCCGTTTCCCAAAAGCTTTTTCTTGTTTTGTTGTTTTTAGTTTCAGTTTGATGGAAATATGCCAAAATTGTTATCAAGTGGTTGTTGTTCTTGTTGGGTTTTTACTTTTTAAATTTAAGCGTTTTTTTTGCACAACAAGTCTGTGTGTATTTCGAAAGTTTTTTTCAATAACACCTCTCATGTTTTCTAGTACTAATTGCTGAGTTGCACAATTGTGCACTTCCGGCCATATTTGTCCTGACACGTCACGTACTCTGTGTCAGTTCATTCATTCATACGTTCGCTCGTTCCTGTTGCAAAAACAAATCCTTTTTCTTACCAGGAAATGCATTTTTGTATGCAATTTCAAAACTTACAACACAAAAAACCACTCAAGACTTCGAAAATATTGTGTTTTTTTTAATTCGGTTCTTTTTACCTGTTGAAGTCTTTTTTGCCATAGTTTGGCTGGTCGAAACGGTTTATACTCAATTTACTCACTCGGTTTTCTTCTAATAATTTTTCCTTTAAAAATGGCATTTTGTCACGCATCCCAACCGAGTGTGTGTGTGTGTTTAACAAGTAGTGAACTTGTTAGTACAAATAATAATAATAACAAAAACAATAAAAAAACAAGTAAAATATTTTAAAATACCTATTGGGAGTTGTTAAATATTAAAGGAATTTTTATGTTTAAAATTTTGATTTTCTCAAATTGTTGTTGTCAAAAAAAATTTTAAATTCCTAAAAAATATTGTGAAAAAATCTGTTAAAATTTCTTTATTTAAAGTTCTTTTAACCACAATTTAAGAATTAAGCAATTTGAGAACCGGTTATTAATCGGTTGTTGTAAAATTTTTCTGCATTTTCTAAACAGCATACTTTTATTATAAATACTTTGTAAAATATGTAAAAATTTTTATTTTTAGTAAATTTTTCATAACCGGTTATGAACCGGTTTTTGTTTTTTAATAAAATTTCAAAAAATTGTATATTTAATTTAAAATTATGTTTAAAAATTGGTAAAATTTCATAATTAAGCAAATTTTCTGTAACGGTTATGAACCGGTTTAGGAACCGGTTTTGTTACAAGAAAAAAACTTTAAGAATTTTGCATTTTTTCTTTTAAAATGTTTTTAAATTAAAAAATTCCTTACTTAAGTGAATATTTTTGAAACGATTATGAACCGGTTAAAGAACCGTCTTAGTAACCGGTTTTTTGTTATAATAAAAAACTTTAAGAATTTTTTTATTTTTCCATTTATAAAGTTTTTAAATTTAAAAATTCCTTAATTTTGTGAATATTTTTGAAACGATTATGAACCGGTTAAAGAACCGTCTTGGTAACCGCGTTTTTGTTGCAAGAAAAAACTTTAAAAATTTTGCATATTTCCTTTTATAAAGTTTTTAAATTTAAAAATTCCTTAAATTAATGAATTATTATTAACTATTAAGAACCGGTTAATGAGCCGTCTTAGTAACCGGTTTTTTGTTAAAAGACAAAACTTTAACAATTTAGCATTTTTCTTTTAAAAAGTTTTTAAATTTAAAAATTCCTTAATTTAGTGATTTTTTTTTAAACAATTATGAACCGCTTTAAGAATCGTCTTAGGAACCGGTTTTTGTTGTAAGAAAAAACTTTAAGAATTTTCCATTTATATTTTCATAAAGATTTTAAATATAAAAATTCCTTAATTTAATGAATTTCTTTTTAATCGATTATGAACTGGTTAAAGAACCGTCTTAGGAACCGGTTTTTGTTGTAAGAAAAATCTGTAAGAATGTAAAATTTTTTCTTTTATAAAGTTTTTAAATTTAAAAATTCCTTAAATTGGTGATTTTTTTATCTATTATCAACCGGTTAAAAAACCGGTTTTTAATATTCAAAAGAAATTTGCAGAAATTTGCAAATTTTTCGTTTAAAAAGAAAATTTTAAGATATTTGTATTTATTTTTCTTAAAAAAAAATTCCAAAATAAAATATATTTTTTATTGAATCGGTTATGAACCGGGTTTTTTATTTTTACAGAAAAATTACACAATTTAACATTTTCCTTTACTATGATTTTTAAAAATCAATTAAGAGATTTCTTTTTGGTTTAAAAGAAAATTGTAAATTTGAAATGTTTATGAACCGGTTAAAACCCGTGTTTTTTGTTTAAAAAAACAGATTTTTTTATTTTTTCCTTACTTATGTGCCAAAATTTTTAAATTCGCTATTATGTGATTTTTTGGCAGCGGTTATGAAGCGGATAAAAACCGGTTTTTATTTTAAAAGAAATTTTTTAAAGTCAAATTTCACAATTTTCTATTTTTCTTCAATAAAATTTCTAAAATTTATAAATTTTTTTAATTTAGTGATTCTTTTGCAACGATTATGAACCGGTTATAAGAACCGGGTTTTGGTTTTAAATGAAACAAATTTAAGAATTTCACATTTAGCTTAAATGAGTTTTCCAAAATTTTTAATTCGTTAATTTAGTGAATATTTTTGAAACGGCTATGAACCGGTTTAAGAATCGGGTTTTTATTCTAGAAGTAAAATATCCATGTTTTGCATTTTTTCTTAAAATTAAACTAGAAACATGTTAATAATGCAAATTTAGCAAAGTTTTTGAAACGGTTATCATGAAAAAATATTTTCATGATTTTAGATATTACGAACCGGTTATGAATCGTATTCAAATTTGAAAACTAAACACATTTTTTAAATCGGTTATGAGTCGGGTTAAAACTGTTTATTTTCTTTAACATCTCGTTGCTCTTGATCTCTCAAAATCTACTTAATGTTTCTGGGCTTTAATATCATTTATATCCATTTCTTCTTTCCCTATTTAATTTTCAACTTGTAGCAGTGTGTAAACTGCTGTGTTGGAACTGCGTATTTATAGCTGAATGGTTGGGCCGGTTGGTATCATTATAATCACTTTAACTTAATTGTTTCTTTTGGTTTTATGTATATCTCGGCTTAAGTTTTACTGCTTCATTCAACATTTTATTGCTTTAATTTCATTGAGTTTTTTTCTCCCTCTCTCTCCCTTCTTAAACCGTCATAAAACATTATAAAATCAGACTAGAATTTTAGCAAATTTGAGCTGAAAATGTTGAAGATCAAGTAACTGATCAGGAATCATTAGAATTGATTGGCTTAGTACTTTTGAAGGAATTACACTTTTAGTTTTAAATCCAAATCACATTTTCAGAAGTCAACGATCAACAGATTTGATTTCAAATCGTTAAAAATGTTTAACATAAAGCTGTTGATATAGATTTAGAACAAAGATCAAGCGACGACGATCAAGCACCATAACACAACAAGATTTGATTGTTTCGAAGCATTAAAACTGATCGGCATATTATATTATGGTCAATACATCTTGATGATCAATAGATCGTCGAAATTGATTGGCATAATGTTGTTGAAGCAAAGATCGATCTGCAAGCGACCGCTGTGATCAAATTGCAAAAGACATTATTAAAATTTGATATCAGAATTTGATTTAGGATTATTAAAACTGATCGGCATATTGTTCAAACAGTAATCAAAACGTTGGATTTTGAACCGTCGAAATGGATTGGCATACTGCTGTTGAAGCAATTCAAGATTTAGAACAAAGATCGATCTGCAAGCGAGATCATGTTCGCTGTGATCAGATTTATAAACACATCATTAAAATTTGATCTCAACATTCAAATTTGAATTCTTAAAAGATCGGCTTATTGTTCTTAGTGTTAAAGCAATTCCAGATCTAGGTGACGATCAAGTGATCTCAGCATTTGATTCGACACATCATAACAGATCAGCATATTGTTATTAAAGCAATTCTCGATGTCTATCTCTTTCTCTCTCTCTCTCTTTAAGAACAACAACCAATTTTTAACAAAGTCTCATCTGCAAGAAATGACGATCAAGAGTAACTGATCAAGTTATATAAAATATGATCAAAACATTTGATTTTGAGTTGATTTTGAATAGGTTATCATAGAAATCATCTAGAATTATCTCATTTATATGTCAGCCTGTACCTTTCTTTTAAAAATGTTTCAAACAAGATTCGACCTTCATGAGATGACAATCAAGAGATCACTTATATAAACTCTTCATTAAAATTGATTGGCATATTGTTTTTAATGTAAAGTCAGATTTTTGACTTCTAGTATACCAAAATCTTTTTAAGAAAATTCGATCTGCTAGTGATCATGATCAAAAATACTAAGCAACTGATCATCTAAATTTGAGAGACTTACAAGTTACGATTTCATCTCTAAATTTGGTTTCATTTAAGTACTGAATTTTAGAAAATTAAACCAAAACCAGAGTAATCTCTTCCAATGTTATTCCCGTCCATTTAATTGCTGTTTATTGCCGTTCATGGTTTATTTAAGTTTAAATAACCCTGCAGAAAAGATGGTGGTAA